ATATTATATTTTGAAATATTGGGATCGAGTGTTGAAATACTATCTTATAAAATTGAGAAATTACGACAGCATGTAAAAAGTGGAAGAAGCGGAACGAAGTTGCGTAGACATATGCAACTTTTTCAATTTGATTTCAATAAATTATTTTTACGAAAAATCTTAGGTAATTGAACAATATGTGAGTGTTAAGATTTCAGATAATGAAAATTATGGTTCAGTTGGGAACGCTGAATTTGCAAATATTATTGGTGATGCCATTCGTGCAATACATGAAGGGGTTTATCCTGAACGAATTCGGCAAGGATCGTCTGGGTCATATTTCGTGAAGAATTGTAAAGGAGTATGTGGTTTATAATTACTTTCTCAACTACATCCCAATATTTCACAATTATTTGGTTCTTTGAAATAAGTTTGTGATTTTCTTTGTGTTAAACACCATTTTTAGAAAGCATAACTTTCTTTCTTTTTAGAATATTTTGGTAAAAAAAAAAAACGATCCAGTTTTCATGAAACATTTCTCATTCTTATAGGAAACCATAGGTGTTTTCAAGCCTAAGAATGAGGAACCATATGGTCAACTCAATCCAAGATGGATGAAATGGATTCACCGTATTTTCTTTCCATGTTGCTTCGGGCGTTCTTGTCTTTTGCCCAATCAGGTACTTTTTTATCCTTTTTTTATGCTACGAAATTTGCGCTTTCTTTATTACGTTGATATCGGTGCTGGAAATTCAATGATCGAAGTAAACAGAGTTTCTCTATCTTCTTGACGCATCATTACAGATTATTTTCCAGTTGCCTGAGGTATTTAGTCTTTTGGAGTATTTGCAGATTTTTTTCATAAATCTAAATTTCAATATCGAATTCATTTTCTGTCTTTCTGCATACTTGATAATCCTTTTTCCCCATTCATTATGTTTTTTTTTTCTCTACCCTGCAGAGTAATCAAGCCATAACTGCACTTTCAAGTTTTTTCTAATATTTTTTGTCACATACGCCAACTATTATTTGTTTCTTCTTCATTTTGAATAAGTTTTTGTTTTATTGATACCATAAGTAGGAAATAAATTGAAATAGTAGGCTAAATGGGTTATTGCTGCAAGACATTTTATGATATTAAGTGTTTAATTTGTTCATTATATGATATGCAATTGGTAATCATGGCAGTTACACTCCTCTTTTTTAAAAAAAGCAAGTTTTTCTTGTTTTTACTCGGAACGTCGTTCTTTACCAATTCAATTTGACGTATAATAAAATAGTCAAAAAAATAGAAAAATTATTTATTTGTGGTAGAATGGCATTCACTCACTACAGACAACATTGATATTTGGAGAATAAAAATGAAACGATATTATGTAAGATTTGGCAGCTGATATGATATAAGCTTATGAATGGTGTATTGAAGCTATAAAAAAAAAAGAAAATGAAAAATTATCATGTTGAGATTGTTCCTTTTTTGATGAAGAAAAAATATATGCAGGAAAAAAAAGAAATCCTATCCTATACATGGATAATATTAAACGATTGATAATGCATATTGTGATGAATGAAACAAAAAAAAAAAATTTATGAAACTTTAAATTTTTTCGCTTGGAAAAAAATAGTAACAGAGATTAGGAGTATGTCTCATTGATGCATTTTGCATTCCATATGCTTAACTGTTTTGTATAACCGTTTTAATTTACGTCAGTTTTTTTTTCCAAACGAAAATATTGTAATTATATAAAAACGACGACTACACATAGTACAAGTAAATAACATGGAGAAATATTTCTTTAGATTCAAAAAAAAAGATTAAAGCTCACATCACTGTTTAATAATCCTTTTTTCCTTTTTTTTTGAAAAGCCATTCTATCGTTAGCATACCATACCATGCCAGCAACAAATACAAGCACACAAGATGGCAAAGGTTAATTTCAAAAAAAAAAAAAAAAGAATCTGCCAAATTTAATACTGGTTACTAATAATAGTAGTAGTAATGGTAATAATAGTAGCAGTTAGCAGTAGTATTACTGGCAGTAACATCACCCTTTTAATGTTTCAGTTGAACTGTTAATAATATTCTTCAGGAGTTGTAAGTATTGTTAATAGTAACTGTTTGTATTATTCTTGAGACGGAATACTTGACTCTGAAAAAAAAAGAAGAAGAAGCTATTGGTTAATTCGATTTTTTAAATTAATATTTCAGTAACAGAGTCCATGTCGTACTCTCTTTTGAGATAAAGAATATTTCAATTTTAATCGACTTTATTTGCAACATTATCTTCTAGTCTGCTGCTTTTCATTACGATAACTGTCTTTGTTCGCTTTTCTAAAATATAACGAAAAAAAATTACTAAAAATGACTTAACAATCTAATCAGGAAATAAGTTAAAAAAGTAATTTAGTGAAGTAGTTGAAATTTTTTTTTTGCTGTGTAAGCTAATCCTGATCGCGTTCGGTATGCATCAATACCAGCAGTACTAAGGAGAAATACCGCATTAAGCATTACGGAATTCTTGATATGAATGTCTTTGAAATGTAGCAAAATTTTCCCTGCTTTAATTTCTCAAGAAATAACAAGAAAAGAAAAGAGTAATACCTTCAATTTCCTTTGAAGGTGCTAGAGTTTCAAGCTTGATTTTATCTGAAGTTGTACTTCCCACCATTGATGGATGATACGTTGATGTTGAAGTGTATGATTCACGTTGCATGTCTGCAAAAATTTCTTATTCTTAACTAATTTAGATTTCAAAATTTTACCTAATCAATAAGAGACTAAAACTGACCCTGATATTGTGTTGGTGTGGATGTTCCAAGAGGTGGTGTAAGCGGATTGGAAGCAAATGTTGATCGTACATATCTTCTAAAATAATTCATAAATATATTATAAAATTTTTAATTTTCTAGAAAAAAAAAGTATAAATAAATGACGATATGAATAATCAATGAAAAAAATACTTACGTCGTTCCAGTCGTATAATCATCTCCTAAATGTGGTAATATACCAGCACTATGAATGCCAGTATTTCTTAGGCCTAGATAACCACCACCAAGTCTTCCAATATCACCGGCTAAACTTCGATCTACATAATCACGACGACGTCTCCTTTCATTGTCCAGTTGTTCTCTCATAATGCTAAGTTGATTTTCCAATTGTTTGATACGATTTTGTTGCGTACGTTCACGATTTTCAATTATTCGTTCTATCTGAAAACATATATTATTTTTATTAAATATTCAATATATGAGTCCTTGAAAAGCTCTGTTATATTATTCAGTTATTTCTTCAATATGAAATTATTTGGTTGTAATTGAATGATTCTTTTTAAGATATAAAATTCTGGTTATAATGATATACAGAAATCATAATTTTTCAAAATTTGATAAAATTATAATTATCACTTGAATCTTTTCATTTCTTATCCGTTGTAACTGCTTATCCTGTTCTTCACGTTGCTTATTACTAATTTCGATAATACGATTACCATTTTCAAATTCCAACTGTGCGATTTGTTTTTGCAATTGGGCACAATTTTTATAAAGTTCCTATAATAAGTTATTATTAACAATGTTAAATAGGAGATTAAAAAGCACATATTGTTATGTTCTTTACTTCTGATCATATATAACTAAAAAGAAGAATGAAAGAGCGAAAAAAAAAGAAAGAAGCGAATTTATGAATGGGAGAAATGTGAGATAAACGTTCGTAGAAGGTTTAAGATACGTTTGTGGAAAAAAAAATTGAATAAGAGTTAACATATTATCAATATATCTTTAAATATTTAATATAAATAAACTATAATCTGTAAACCTTGTTTTCTCTTTCCATTGCATTTAATGATTTCTCAATAGCTTCACGTTGTAAAGCAGTTTCACGGATAGCTGCATCGGTGCGTCGTTTTTCATTTTCCAACTGTAACTCATTGTTTTCGGAAATAATATTGATTTATTTATGAAATGCTTGAATTTTTTTTCTTTATGAATGCTATCTGTTAACTTTAAAACATGAATAAAATTGCTGGAATCTGAATAAATTAATGCACTCATTAAAAAAAAAATGCCAAGTACCGATAATTATAAATTTTCATTATGCACTTTTGAATTAGTTACCATTTCTATTTTCTTGATGAATGTCGCTCGATCACGTTTGTTACTCTCAAGTTGGCCCACTATAGTTCTTTTTTCACTTTCTAATTGAGCTAATCGTCGCTGTATTTCATCAAGTTCACGTTGTAACATTCTTCGTTCATTCTTACAAGTTTCAACTTGCTGTCTAAGATCATCTTCTGTTGCTCTTTGTGATGATGTTACCTGCATAAGTTATTCTCTTTTAATTGAAAATAAAAGAAAAAGTATAACTAGGCATTCATGTCATCCTTTTGAAATGAATATTTTAAAAAAAGAAAAAGAGCAACTAAGGATTAACAGATAAGTATGTATTATTAAGTAGGAACCTTTTCAAGAGCTAACAATCTTTCTTCGAGACGATTTTTCTCTGCGTGAGCATCTTGTAATTGACGTTGCAAATCTGATGCTCTACCGCTTAGATCACGTACACGTTGCTTAAAATCACGAAGTTCGCCTCGTGCGTTTGTTAGTTCATGCTCAAGTTGCTGCTTTTGATTAGTGGCATTTGTTAGATCATTTTGTGCACTGATTATCTAAAATATTCACAATAATGTTGACAGGAAGAGTACTAAAAAAAATTAGGATCAACGAGAAACAGGAAAAGAATTATTTACTTGGTCTCTAAGAATTTGATATTCATTAATGGTTCTTGATTGATAATCCGAAGTTTTTCGGAGTTCTATCTCGACGCTTTCAGCTTTTGAAAGTTCTCTTTTCAGTCTTTCCACGTCTTCCTTCATATCGGTGCATTTTATTTCGCTTAATTGCAACTGTCCGGATAGTTCTTTTATCCGCTCGTTCAAGGACTAAAAATACTCAAATTTATACAATTACAAAAAAGGTAGTGCTAATGCATATGTGAGAAGCATACAGGATCTGCTTACCTGTTTTTCACTTTCGAGATTTGCTTGCAATAGATTAAGCCTTTGTGTTTCGCTTTCCTTATCTCGAAGTTTACTCTCGAATTGGAAACGATTAGCATCCCATTGTTCTTCACGTTCACGCAGTGTTCGCAGATCAGCTTGTGCAGTGTCCAGATCATTACGTAGATTTTTCAGTTGCTCCTACAGATGATATATTTGTAAATAATGAAATTTTAACTATTATTTTACAAGTAATTTCAATTATTAGATATTAAGAATTGCTAACATTGAGATGTCGTAGTTGCGCATCTTTTCCACGGGCTTCCAAATCTGCTGCTACCATTTTAGCTTTCAATTGACGTCGTTCTTCATCTCGTTGCTTCAATGCTTCTTCTTGCGAACGTAATAGCTGTTTAGCTGATGCTAATCGTACTTCTAATGCTCGTTTCTCTGCAAATTAAAATATTTAATTTTAAAAATAAAAATTTTTGCAATTTCGTTACCTTCTTCCACATCGGTCA